TTTTCCTCGAAAAAATCAATGAAAATGGGTACATTTCCATTGATTATTGGACAGGAAACATAGAGCGCATACGTCGACAAAAAGATCTTTTAAAATAATGTTTGTTTAGACATTTTACATGTCTAACTTGAATATTTTTTTGTCGACGCTTGCGCTCTATGTTTCCTGGTCCTAAATTTGATTTAAATCCGGCCGATTTTGTCAAATTGCCCCAAAATCTTGACCTATTTGGGATGTAAAAATTAACGCTTTAGAATAAAACTTTGACACAAATAGTTCTTTTTAACTTTCTCACATGTCTTTAAGTCAACCTAAAACATTTTTTATCTTGTAACATTGAACTTTATAATCGGGGCCAAATGTGGCCCTTACCGAACTGACTCCTTTCTGTTCATATAACATGATAAATAAGTTAAAATCTCAATTTTGATATTTTGCAATATGCATTTTCCGTTGCTGGGAATCGAACTATTTCTTTAAAGTCCTTAATTATGTAACTGATATCAAAACCTCTAGGCAATTAATTGATTGGGAATAAACTTTATCTTTTAGGTATCAATATGACTATTGTGTTCCTTCTTAAGATTTCATAAATATATGAAGGAATAAAGTGGTTTTACTCAATATAATGAATGAGGTAGAAATTCCAATTCATTTTGTCAGCCAACACATACATGTGAACAGAAGTTAAATTAAAACTTGATATACATCGTAACAATGGACACATAAGGCTTGCACCTTTGTATGTGAAAAAATGAAGTTCGTATGCTGTAAGTTAATAGTCATGAGGTTACGACGAATTGTAGAGTTTGTGTTGCTCAGTCTTTAGTTTTCTATGTTGTATACTGTTTGTGTTTTGATCGTTTTTCATTTTTTGCCATGGCATTGTCAGCTTGTTTTCTACTTATGAGTTTGAATGTCCCTTTGGTATCGTCCGACTCTCTTTTTAAAGTTGGGAGTAAATGTTTTTGTTATAAGCATGAACTTTATCCCTTGCAATTTCACAGAAATAAATATCACATATAATTTGTCCATTTACTGAAACGATTATAAGTAATTTCATCTGTTTTAATACATTTGAAATGTGGGTTGAATCATGCTTCGATTTAGAAATAAACATGTATTTATATGTCAAAATTAGTTCGAATGTGAGTTATGCTAAAAACTAATGATCACTTTCAGATTTATAATCAGTCAATGGAAATGTCAGGACAGTATATTGATAATGAATACCATTTGGTTTAATATTGTTCATAATTAAAATCAACTACGTTTACACTTCTTATCTATTATTGTTTCTAATGCATCATTTAGGATAATTATGTAGTTATTTGAACCCACTGTAGGAAGGTCAAATTGATAAAGGAACTGTTACGTTGAAATGACTTCACATGTATACTTAAAATAAAGGGCAGAATGGGCTCATGGTATCTGTATAACGAACCAATGCTTATCCATCGTATCTCCTTTATTTAAACAATGTTTTTTCTCCTTTATAATTTAAAATATTAAACGAAATAAATGCTAAAGTAACATGATATTGAAATGGGATATTCAATAAAATTTATAGCACATCTACGTCATTTGTTCTCTGGTGGATAGTCTGCATGGCAATATAACAACATGTAACCGTAATATAGCCCTTCGGAGCACCTGAGATCACCTACGGTTTTTGGTAGTGTTCGTGTTGCTCAGTCTTTAGTTTTCTATGTTGTGTTTTGTATAATGCTGTTTGTCTTTTGGTCTTTTTTTCTCGTTTTTATGCCATGGTGTTGTCAAATTATTTTCGACTTATGAATTGTAATGTAATATCCGTTTTGGTATATTTTGCATCTCTTTTACAAGAATTTTTTTTTCTTCTAAACAATGACTTTTACATTGATACCTTTAATGTAGTGGTGAAATAATTCTCGAGAATACGACAAACAATCTTATATGTTGTTATACTACAATAAATTAAAGGTATAATGTTAAAGTCATTGTTTAAAAAAAAGTAGATGTTGAATGATAAACAACTATCCACCATAGACCAAATGACGTAGATGGGCCAATATCCCTATGCGCCTCAAAGTGAGGTACGCATATATAATTTTGAAACAAAACATCTCTGTGTATTGATATTTGTCATGTTGCCTTTTTTAACAAATGATTAAGCTTAACCATGATTGTTCATTTGAAGGGCAGATAACCATAGGCTAAAGGTTGAAAGTTATTAAGTGTTTGAAAAATCCTGAATTCTTTAAAGCACTTTTTGTGTGAAAAACAAGGATTTCTTACCTCAAGAAGCTGCGTTAAAAAGGCTTTTCGGGGTATGCATGATAACGTAACGGAAGAATTAGTGGCACTTCGTACCTCCAACATTTAACTACATATGTGAAAATGTATCAGCTTCGAAACGAGCCATCATACATATTCAAGTTTACCATATGGGCAGAGAAATTGAAGAAACTTCTAAATTACCGCCTACATGAAATGAACTGCACATATTGACCAAGATGTAAGCATTTATATGTCACCGTACGGCCTTCAACAAGGAGAAAAACTTATACCGTATAGTTAGCTTTAAAAGGCCCCGAAATGGCAAAATCTGAAACAATTCAAACATAAAAACTATAGGCTTGATTTATGTACGAAACAATATGATGTATGATGAAATAAAGCATTTTCAAATGATAAAATGTTTTCCAGGAACACGTGTCGTGCGCATTGAATCCGGTATCGGATATTAATGATGCACCATTTTATATCAACATTATTGGAAGGAGTTGAAGAGTATACGTCATTTAGATTGCAACCCAGCGACACAAAAGTCAAAAGACACTTGGCGGTTTACTTTTATTACGGTTATATGTTGTAATTTGATTAGATACTAAACTATAACAGTACGCCAATTTCGCTGCTTCATAATGGAATTAATTCGTTCTTTACGCATTACAAACAAAAAGAGCAGAAGTGATGAAATTGGACTGGTAATACTATTTCACGATCGCTTATTTGGGATTTTGGAAAGAAACAATGAATTTACAGATTACCGATGTTCTCTATAGACCACTACTCTTAGGTAGCAATCCACAGTTAGGTTTGGCATTTTGGTAACGGTGACTTTTTCAAATATGAACATTGTTATGCAATGAAATTGATTTTTAGAAAGCTGAAGACTAATAAAGCCTGTCCCAAGTCAGGAGCCTGTAATTCAGTGGTTCATGTGTTACATATTTGTTTTTCGTTCATTTTTTGTACATAAATTAGGCCGTTAGTTTTCTCGTTTGAATTGTTTTACATTGTCATTACGGGGTCTTTTATAGCTGACTGTGCGGTATGGGCTTTGCTCATTGTTGAAGGTCGTACAGTCACCTATAGTTGTTCATTTCTGTGTCATTTGGTCTCTTGTGGAGAGTTGTTTCATTGGCAATCATACCACATCTTCTTTTTTATATTCAAAGCGGATTTATATGAACATCACGATTTTTTTTGTGCATGTTATATATAGGCCGTTTTTTGATTGACAATCCGTATTTTCCAACAAACGCTCGAACTGTTCAATTCTATTTTATGGAAAAAATGAGGTAAAATACATATGATTTTTATTTGACTTCTTGATAGATAAATGTCAATGGTTTCAGAAAAGGTAACGCTCAAATGGATTGAAATGTTACTTTTGACCAAATTTTTGGGACTTTTTTATACATTTTCAACCCCCTTTTTGCAATATTTTGATTCAAATAAATGCAGATTGTTGCCATGGTTACACCAAAAAAAAAGGTTATATTTCACAATTTCAACCATTAGACATCAATTCTATGGAAGATGCTGTTTCCATACATATGCACATACATGACACAAACAGTGAACCCAATTTGTTAGAAAGCAAGGAAAAGAGGTGGTTAAAAATTTTGAGTGTCAATTTTAAGTTTTATCCTAACTGTGTATTGCAACTTAAACTAACACATATGGATGACAAAGTCTGAGTAAGATAAATGATCAGTTCAGGATGAGTGCTACCGATAAATATTGAATGCGTTCCCGACATATTATCCGGTCAAATAAATTATGTGCTTGTCAAAAATTAAAATGCATATTTCAACTACGTGATACAAAATAGCAACTATTTACTTGTTTCAGATATAGTTTCTCTTCTCGACTCTGAGCAATTTAACGCTTGAAAACAACATCTTACTAATCCGGACCACCTGCAATCAACCCAGTTTTTGGTGGGGTTCCGTTTTGCCCATTCATTACATGTCTATGTAGTGTTTAGTGGACTTGTTTGTCTTTTCGCTGTCTTTCTTTTTGTTGCCATGGCATTGTCAATGTTTCTCGACTTATGAAATGTAAACGCCCCTCGGTATATTCCGCCCCCTTCTGACATGAGATTTTCACGTGTATTTATTGTTTAAGACTACATATAAAAATTAAGGCGATGTGGTATTATTGCCAATAGGACAGCTAGCCATTAAAGTTCAAATTAAGTGGATTTAAGCAATTATATGCATTTTGTTTTAATATTGTTCATGATTAAAATCAACTACGTTTACACTTCTTATTAATTATTGTTTCTAATGCATCATTCAAGATAATTATGTAGTTATTTGAACCCACTGTGTGAAGGTCAAACTTAAAAACGAACTGTTAACAATTCGAAAACCTCAAACCGTATAGTGGGCTACAAGAGGCCCTGATATGAAAAATATGAAACATTTCAAACGAGAAAATTTACGGCCTAATCTATAACAAAACAATTTACGACAAGCAAATATACTCAAAAGATCGACATGAGACCCAAATATATCTAACATTTTTTAAAGCACTTAACATGTAGGTTATTAACATCTAGATTTTTTTTCGAATTTGTATGTCATTGGATTGCTGTCTCTTTGCCAAATACTCCACAACAACTTTTATTCTTACTTTGATATATAATGACTAATAATTTACAATTAAAAAACAATTGCAATGATTAGCAGTTATTTAAATGTGCAGATTCATAACGAAGCAAATCGTTGTGTTATTTATTTATTTTCAATTATTTTTCAAAGCGCATCCGTAGACTTGGCAGCACAACTGGAAAATACACACCACATGTAGCTCAAGGAACCTATTAAAATGAATAACAATTATTTATCGATACATGAATATTGTTATACCTTTATATTTATAATCAACTGATTATTTAAGACTTTTAATTTATGGTTAATAAATTGTATTTAAAAACTAATAATAAATTAAGCGCAAATCAATGAAAATAAATTAACAGATTAAGAAAACCTGGTCCGTATTTAAAATAGACATAAGAGTTTCAAAAATTGAAGGTTTCTTAATTTCCATTCCATAATACATATTTGTTTTCGCGAAAATAATTTCGCATCATATGAAGTGATATTTAATGCAAAACTTACTGGATGAAGTAAAATCTGCATCTAAAACACAAAATAGATTTTAAGTGCCAATTAACTACAAAGAAATATTCAACAATTATAACATGCACATTAAATGATTGAATGGACAGTAAAAGTAGCCATATAAAACTATTACCAATAAAGATTTAAATAAAAGAAGATTTTGGATGTACGTCAATAAGATAGGAACTATATCTGATAGATGAATATTAATAATCTACCTATTACGAAATTTAACATTGTTGTAATCGGATTATTTTTATAACATAAAAAGCCATATACAAATGAAACACTGACACTTTACAAAATCTTGTAATATTTATATTTGATCCATAGATAGAATATATGATAGAATTAAGATGGTCAAATTCTATCGATTTAAATCAAGAAGTCCAAGGGAAAGTTTAAATAAGAAGGGTTTTAAGCATCGCTACTCCATAAGTTAAAAATTAAGTTTGTATCTTTCAAATGTTAAGGATAACTAAAAAAAATATCAACTTCCCAGTTTGACAAAAATTAAAAGAGAAAGATAAAATACAATTAACTAATTTATATTGGTCACATGAAAATTAAACAATATCCATGATACTAGGATAGAAATGATAATTAATATTGCTATCAAAAAATAAGCTGCTTTTTATGTCAATAATATATAATATGTTTTTGGAGTTAAAGCTCAAACCCTAAAATTTGAAAGCCTATTAAATAAATAAAAATAGTAAACTTCAATAGATCTATCTTTGTTTGAACTGTTGAATTATTACGATGAATATGATATGATTAACGAATTCTTATTCGTCTGTCATTATATTCACTTTCATCATATGCGTATTATTCTGTCATGAACATACTTTAGGTCCATAGCAATATATATTTAACAAATTGACCATTTATCGACAAATAATTGTGCAAAGTCATAATGTTCATTTTCACAACTGTAAAAATTTAACGCACCAACATTCAACCACTATTGTTCAACAAAAAAAGATAATCATGTACTAAATCATTTCAACTAAAGTAATGCCTGTAATTTTATTTACATGTTATTTCAACGAAAACGATTAAATAATGTAATGTAGTACCTCTCCGTGGCCTTTTGAAAGGAGAAACTTTAGCATGCATTGACCTATAATCTTTACAGAAAGCTGCAACTTTGTGTCCAGCTAAATCCTTCACTTCGTCATAAGTCATTTAGCGCTGCACAATGTTTAGAATGTGATCATGTACCTCAGCGGTCCACCCCTGTTTAAAAATAATCTCACTTAAAAAAAGGACAAAATAATGATGTTTTTTTTTTCAAATGAAAAATGCAATTTTCCACATGATCTTATCCTCAAAATAATTAACTTATACTAATCTTTAACTGACAAACTAATTTATTTACATACATGCATTTAACGCATATACAGAAAAAGATATAAAAGTTTCATATAAACTTACGATTCTGTATTTTCTGTCTGATGCCATGGGTACAGGGGATTTCGTGATAATACACGTTTGCTTGTTTATATTTTTCAGCGCACCGTAGCCCTGCAAATTTCAAAGTATTTATCTAAATAGGAAAGTCAATGCAACATACGTTTCATTAAACATATTACAACTTATTTTTAATCTTTTATTTATATTTTTGTTTGAATTTGTATGTTTATTTATACTTTCATTATTAACACCAAACATTTTTCCACTGAAGGCAATTAAAGTTTGTGAACTATTTCTTGTTAAGCCTTGTTTATTCATAAGATAACTAAAACTAATAATTTTGTTATCAATATTCTTCAGTAACTTGACGTTATATTCATACCGTGCTATAATCATGAAAATTCACTCTCGGGACACCATTCTTGTATTTACAAACGTCGCCAACGATAGCAATGACAGTCTTTTCTTCAGTGTCGTGTATAATATCCATAGCCACTTTGCGTCCCATGTGATCAATTTCAATCAGGTGGTTTACCTGTGAAATCAAAATATTTGGATTTGTTATGCATAAGAAGGAAGTTAAGGATGTTCGCTCTTCTTGTTTTTGAATTTTTGCCAGATATTCGGAATCCTCTGGTTTTATCCATGTAGTGTCATTAAAAATTTTGCCCGCTAAACCCAACTTTTCTTTCCATTATTTGATTACATATAGTTTAAAATGCCATCTTTGGAATCCTTGTTATTTTTTCATAGTTTTTGAATAAAAAAGGTGCCAATGTTAAATGTAAGAAAAATCTAGAGAGATTTATTTCCCGCCAAATTTTCAATGGCTTATATCTCGAGAACAAGCCCACGGACCCTTCATTTTTTTCTGCTTTTTTAGTTCCATTATTTATATACTATCAATAAATAACAGTTTTTCAAAAGGTTTGATATTTTGAAACAGAGTAGCGAACATCCTTAAATATTAAAGGGTCAACACAACGTGACAATACAATTAACAGAACATTAATCTTGATGAATTCAACAGAAGACAAGTATTTATACTACATAAAATTCTTTAAATACACCGAGGCTATACGAGTGTTGCCGAAGACTACAAAAAAATTGTTACTAAAATCAAATTCGTTCAAAGGGTATCGTTTCAAAACATTTATATACTATTAAAGACAACGATTAAAGCGGTTTCTGACTTGTGGGACAGGCACATTAATTTTTACATAATTAGTTGGTTATCAAAAAAATTATAAACGTACTTATTGATATGAATACTTTTAGGAAACACATAATTACGGTTGAAATTGTTTACATTGTTCGTATTAATTTGATAGATATAATTATTTTGTATTTGAAGTGCTTAACTAGCAGCACAGTTATCAATGATTATTTTAAGTTTACGTAATATTCGAAAAATTTACTTACCTCTGGAATAGCCTTCACATAAACAAACAACAATGTAACTATTCCAATAATCATGATTATGACTTTGACGAAAGAGATAAAGGAGCTACACATCTTTGAAATGAAAACGAAATGTTACGTACATTTAGAATTTTAATCAATGACAAAATCTGCAGCTTTTAAAATTAGTACACATGCGAATGATCATTACAAGTGTTAGAATTATAAAAATTATAAATTCAAGCTTATATTATAAAATGTAAATCCAAGAAAATTTAATCACTTCGTATTTGATTTTTAAAATACGAAAAAGAGAATTGAGAATTTTTTGTACTTACAGCTTTAAAGAATTTTACCATAAATATCTTTTTTTCGAATGGAATATAAATATATATTTCTACCTATATATGGAAATCTATTACCAAAATTCTGTCACGGCATATAGTTTATTTGCACGCTTAAATTAAATCTAACCTAAAAACGTCTGTGACCTTCATGTTGACACAAAATTAGATACATCAACAAAGTCAAATAAACAAGTTCAGTTTTTTCAAGGTCCTTTTTCGAGATCCTAATTTATTTTCTTCTAACAATTAATTGAAAAATACTGTTTATGAAAAGGCCTTATCGGATGATGTTGAATATAGTCTTCTTGTACGGAATGTAAGCCAAAGCATGTAAATAATGTGTTAAATACATCAACAAAGTTAAATAAACAAGTTTAGATTTCCGAGGTACCTGTCATACTTTATAGTTTTTAATCTATTTTCTTGTAAAAATAAATTTAAAAAGATCTGTTATTAAGGACCTTATCGGATGATGTTGAATATAATCCTCTTTTATGGATTAGCTTTACATGCTTATACATATGTACATTTAAAGTTAGCCTTGTGAGCTATATTCTGTGAAGAATGTGTTAATCTGAAGCTTGTATGTTATTCTTATCTTAATATTTAGCCAGACAATACCATTACCGAGAGATCATCACTATATAAAATATATGCAGTTCATACTCTGTTCACATCCTACTGCTGGACTTCCCAGTGATATCCTCGAGTTGTTCTACAAATCTTTCTTTCAAATTTTTTATAGAGGTTCAATAATTGCATTTAGTTTTTTAAATAGGATTTGGTTTTCAATATGTTTTTTGTTGTTGTATTTTTATCTTATATCATTTCTGTTATTCATAATTTGAAACAAGAATAAACTACTTCTTTGTTCCCTTGAATGAAATTGGTGTACATTGAACAAGATAATATGTTTAGTTTAAGAGGAGATGTGGGTTTACGTTAATGAGAACACAACCTTAATACAATATTAACCAATAAAACATTTAGCGTGCATTATTCAGTTTTCAACAATAAACAGGTGTATATTGCCATGACACCAAATTTTCCAAATAATAAAAAAATACATTAGAATATGACATACGACATCTATTCACGAGACTGCTGACTTGGAACAGACATATACATATTTTCCGTATAAACTAATTTTGTGATCACAACCCTCCCCCTTTTTCTCGATTGGTATATTAACAAATCGTATATCAAAAAGAATTCAATAAAAAAAAACAGTACAGGAAAAGCACTTGAGGAAAGCTCGCAATTACCGAAAGCCTGTTGAAATTAGTTAAACAGTTTATCATAAACAGTAGAGAAAGTCATGAATTTCAGTAATTACAACCGCTCTTGTATAGGTACCATTTGGTACTGAAATATGTAGTCTATAATATCGATATAATTGGCAAAATTCTGTTGTCTGTAATTTCTGCTGTTGAAAAGAGTGATGAGTGCTTACAAAACAAGTTAAACTATACAAGACATTAATATGCCAGATAAAAAAACCAATTTAGAAAATCCACTTTATTTGAACATTGGTGGATGATTGTCTCATTGGCAATCATGCCTCATCTCCTTATTTTTATATTTAGAAAGAATGTCGTCATTGGTTGTCTTTTGGGTTTTTTATTACAGACCCTGCCCTTTCAGTCAATATCCTACATCTAAGCGAGTGCTTGCATCTCATATACTCCAATCAACATTAGATTAAGATTACTGCTGAAACTAGAAGATCTGCTTCATATCTTGATCTTTTCCTCGACTTTAAACTACAATCCCATGACAAATGTGATGATTTAAATTTACAGTTGCCAATTTCCAGTTTATAAGCAATAATATACCCATCGCTACATCGTACTGCGTTTAAATATCTCAAAGGTTACATTAAGCTAGAGTATGTTATGAGGTTTGGCTGGCTATAAAACCAGGTTTAACCTACCATTTTCTTGAGGAATTTGACAGTTATTGTCCAGTCATTCAGTTAGTTGATGTAGTCAATCGTTTGATTTAACAAGGTGTTATGGACTTCCCCTTTTATTAGTTTAATTTTGTGTTCGGTATTTTTTTCAAACAAATGGACTTAATTAACAGGAGTATGCCCCTTACCCGAAACTACTCCAACAGAGTTACAAAGAAGCACGACATTAATCGATTTTTACATAAGTTTTAGGAATCTTCAACACGAATTGTTGATTGTCTAAATTCATTAGTGACATATGTTCAGGGTCTTAGATACATAATAGCCGTCTGATCTGTAATTTTGCTGATTGTGTACTATGTTCTTCATTTTTATTTAGCGTGGAATCACAATTAAGATGATCCGCACATAGCCAAAGACGCTTACCCTTTCGATGCATCCGGTCTCGCTCTTTTTTAAGGTTGCATTCGATTTCCTCAGTGTTTGTTTATTATCTTGATTTGTATCTCCTAAGTAGATGTACGAGATTTAAACATTGGTAAACTATATGATTCGCTATTGTTGCTTAAATTTACTAAATTGCTTAGATATCGTAGTTTTCAAACTTGGAATATTACCTGACCCTATTCTTTAATACATGCCTTGGTTATTTTCGTGGGGTGTTTTTTTTTTGTTTTTTTTTTGCTTATTTTGGCGGTTGGATGAAAATCGCGAAAATAAATTCCACGAAAATGTATGCATACCTTTTGTACTTCCTAATAAGTAAAGCGTTTTGTGAACGATCTAGTTTTTTTCCGGTAGTCAGGTCGATAACGGTAATTGTTAGTTTAAACAACATTAATGCCAAAGGGTATTGAACATACATTTATTTTATAAAATTAAGTCGTGAGTTCTAATTAAACTGTATACCCTTATTACTATGTGTCAAATGATTAAATGGTGTAAGGTACTCTGACAGGTATTTAACCTCTATTAATTAGTGTTAAAATACACCTGTGACGTAGATCTTTTGTTCAAACTCTACATTATTTTTCAGGAATGGAGTGTTATTTTCTATTGTTCATCTTCACTCATCCGGCCTTTTTGCCTTTTGGATATATCCATGGTCACTTTCTTTAAAAGTGTTCACCCATAGAAATAATTCTAAAGGACGAAACGCGATATTGAATGAAGATGAAAACTTACTATAACGGCTGATATTCGTTTTTTTTTTATTTTGGATCGTAGTGATACAATGAACATCAAATATCTCATTATTAAAATACAGCTTTTATTTGCGAGTCATAATTCCATCGTATAATATATAGTATCATATTCACTAAAATTCCACAACATTATCCACAATTTGTTTTTCCGAAGCAAATCTTGACTGGATTTCTGTGACGGATAGTATCCGATCGGGTAAAAACGAATATTTTCCATCGTGTGCAATTCCTCTTCTGTGCATCTACAAAATATCAGATGTTTTAACTCAGTTGAATTATTTTATGATATTGAACACATTAACATTATTCAATACGGAAAATTAGAGAAAAGTATATTTTACTTCAAGATTTGCTTTTAATTTTACCGTTCAAGATATCAAATCCTTGAAATTTGAAGTGTTGTATTTTGATTTTGTACAGCAACATTTCGTTTGTTTCATTTTAATATGTGCATTAAAAACAGAAAAATGTTCGGATCGTTTCTACAATGATAGTGTGGTTTAATACAATAAACAGTTCAAGAAACTGAAATAGTCAAAAAGTTTTAAATCCTAATTAATAAAATTGAGAATGGAAATGGGGAACGTGTCAAAGAAACAACAAACCGACCAAAGAGCAGAAAACAGCTACATAAATACATAAATTAGCAAAGGACTAATAGCAGTTACTGACATGCCAGCTCCAGACCTCAATTAAACTGATTATGTCTTCATCATATGAAATCAAGCACAATCCCTCCCATTAGGGGTTTAGTATCATACCATCATAAAATATTTGAGAACATAACCCGTATCATGCCAACAACTTGTTTTAGAATAAATGTGTTTATTTCCGATACAAAGACCCTATTAGTGAATCTATATTAATACCAAAATATGCAATCTTTAATGACCTGACACAGTATCGTAACTATATCCCTTCTGAATAAGTCTGTTTAAAGGTTTGGTTAGCCTTTGAGGTGAATGTCGACATTTTTGTGCTTTGTATAGAATATTACCATAAAAGATTGGATGTGAAATACTTGAACGTATAAGATGTCTGCATGTTGATTTATATTTACGAATGATGCCCTTGTACCGATGATAAAATTTTGTGAATGTTTTTACTGTGTATGATATGGAGTGTTGATAATTGTAACTTTTCTCTTGTGTTGTGAAACAACTCTTTAAGTCTTAGAATGAAAGATTCACAAAAGCTCTCATATTCATTCATGAAAACTATGATAGTACTTTTTAAAAACTTTTCACTGTTCCTATTGAAAAGGGAAAAGAGTCAACATTATATACATTATTCAGAACAATAAGCAGGAAACATCAGTTATATAAAGTGTCAGAAATATTTTAGTTTTTTGGTTGCACATATCTGAAATAATGTGCCTAATCATTGCAAAGAAATATCTGTTCAGGAATTCAAAAAAAATAAAAACTCGTTGTATCAAAATAACATTAGTGCTGTGCATGCATTGTTTTCTTGTTGTTTTATTTTTTTTTTGACTGCGTCATTCGATTTGCTAATTTTTCCTTAATGTCCTTATCGTTTCAACCTTATCGGTATCGATAGTATTGCACCATATGCGCATATCGACAACGCCTACCTCTTCAGTGATGTTTGATGGTATACTATTCAAAAT